CGTGGCACGAACCGGTACTAAAGGTTAGCCCTTTTGTACCGGTTTTGTGCCACGAACAGATATTAAAGGTGATCACGGGGCCCCGGCTTGACGCCAGCCTGCCACCATCCCTTTAGAACCGGTTCGTGGCACGAACCGGTACTAAAGGTTCAAAATGAACCGGCATTAATGCATAGCCGTTCGAACCGGCACTAATGATACCATTAGTACCGGGTCAAAATCGAACCGGGACTAATGTGTCTCACATTAGGTCCTTTTTCTACTAGTGCAATAAGAAGATTATCTCTATTGCCCGGCTCCAAGAGGAGCCGGAACCCTAGCCGCCCCCTGCCTCTTGCGCTGCCGCCGCCATCTTCCTCTCCCGCGACGGCGCCCAGCCGCCGACGCGGCCGCTCATCGCCACGCCCAGCCCCCTCCTTCCCCTACTGCCTACGGTCAAGACCGGGCAGAACCCTATCTCCTAACATATGTGTGCGAATCCGGGGAGCACCAATCCCGCCTCATCATCAACAACAGCGCAAGTGCCTCCCTTACACACTGCGCCTCGCACAGACCCTGAATCAAAATGGTGTAGGAGTACTCATTTCTTTGGCAACCCTTCAGCGGCATCATCAGCAACAGCCAGCAGGCCCTCCTCAGGTCACCCTTCCGACAGTAGCCTAAAATTAGAGCATTACTACATGTGAACGTATCCGGCTCCAACCCACACTCCAGCAGCAGCCTGAAATAGCGGTGTGCCTTGGCGAGATCGCCCTCCTTGCAATGCGACTTAATCATGGCGTTGTACGGATTGGTATCCGGCAGCAGCCCGTCCCGGACGAGCTGGGCGTACACCCCCTCCATCTCCCCCATCATGTCGAAGCGCGCGAGCGACCTGATCGCGAAGTTGTAGCAGGCCAGGGACAGCGCGTGGCGAGGGCGACGAGGGCGACGCGCATGTCCTCCGCGCTGCTCGAGCAGCCGAACATGTCGAAGACGATCCTCTCGTAGCGCGCGGGTGCCCGCCAGCGCGAGAGGAGGTGGATGAGCGCGGCGTGGGAGGTGGCGGTGTGGCGGAAGCCCTGGCGGCGCGCTACCCAGTCGAAGAAGGCCCGCACTCCCTCCTGCCTACGTTCCAATTCCCCACCCCTCCTCTCCTCCAACCTTCTCCGGTTCGACTCCGGCCGCCGTGCAGCTCCCTACTCGGATCACCCCTCGGAGGGGGCCAAACGTCCAATTCCGAATCGACACCCGCAACCGGAGTCCTTTGCCAATTTATACAAGCCGCATCGTCCATACACCCAGTAGTAGCTTCGCTCTCCACCTTGGCGTCTCCGCTTCTGTTGCCTATCGCGTCCTCCCGATTTCAGGTACGGGGTTGCTGTCAGCATCCACCGTCTCATCGTCAATCGTTACTTCTGTTGAAATATATTGCCTGCCTCTCTCGATCAGTTCGGATTTTTCGATGAGTTGGCTGCTGCATGAATTCAATATGGTATCCGAGCCAAGAGATCTTGAGTTCAAGACCCTGCTAACGCAGTATTAAATAAAACGATATAAAACGATTCTGCGGCCTACATCGATCCCACGTCTAAGGAGTAACATAGCCTAGACATGAGGGGGAGTGTTGAAATATATTGCCTGCCTTCCTCCATCAGTTTGGACTTTTGGATGAGTTGGTTGGAGCATGAATTCAATAATGCAGTCATTTGTAAACATAGCAACTATTAATTGTAATTCTGTAAATAACATCTGTTGCATGAGTTTTGAGCCACAAGTTGAAGGCTGCCGAGTCTACAGGGCATCAAATGCACGCTACACAGCCAATTGTAGCTGTCATTTGTAATTCTGTAACTTCATACTGGATGATGTACCTCTTTCGCGCTGATGTAAAGGGATGATACATTTCTTTTGTACTGATGTAAAGTCGGTGTAATCGTTCTATGCTTACATAAAGAATAGGTGAACATTTTTGCTAACAACTGTATGCTTTTTCTAAAGATTCGAGTAAACTAGCCTTCTACTTTTTGTGTATTTCTACTTTCTTATGTCCACACATATTATTTTTACATTTTTTATGCCACAACAAATCTTCCGCACCATGGTTGCTGGTTGGAAAAGACTAGCCTCCAAAATAGATGGTGTCACCTGTTTGAAACAAATTTTAGAACTTTCAAAAGTCGATTCTCTCAAACAAAGTGTCCAAACCGAAATCTTTGTTTCGACAAGTTCTTGAAAACTAGAGCCCAGCTTTATATCTTTTGATGCCAACTCGTGAGGGAACCCCTAGAGAAATAGTGGCCGTACTTTGGGTGCCACCACTCCATTGACGAATCGGGGCGGCTTACCTGGATCTTAAGGAGAAAACCACGGTACACCCCAACCTTCCTCAGTCACCATTTTATGGAGATTTCTTATATCTAGCTTTTCCTTTTCCAAACATTGCAACTATGCTTGTTATCATTCGCTTATAAACGATACAGCCGAATCTAAAAGAGAACTTCGTAACTATAACAATAATGAAGATTTGTCTCTAATCATTGTTCCTTGAGCAGTACAAAGCTGCTAGAGCTAAGAAAAGAAAGACAGGTAAGATTCTCTCGAAAGAAATCTACACGACTTCAAATCACCTGTGGCTTATTGAGGCCTCCCTCGGTACATCGGATTATTTTGTTGGCGTAGCAAACATACTAGGTTGAATCCAGCGGCGCACTTCCGTTACGATCGATGCCGGTATAACCGTCTCAACAGTCCCAGAAACTAAATCATATGCATAAATATTTGTGATGGTCTTCAATGAGGGAGGACCTGATGTGCTAGTAAAATACGTGGTTGCCTTTTTTCCATGTGAGCTCTCTGTCACTGAGCCACTGCATTGTATGGGATTGAATGTGTAGACTTTCCTTTTGCCTTCTTCCTTCACACGGATAGACTGACCCTTGCAAAGAAACCAGCTGGTGTCATCCAGCTCCTGGCCATCGAGCGGCGACCATTCCAAAGCTTCCATGTCCATCTTGAAGAACTTGAAAGCACTTCCCACGTTCACACGAAGACACGATACGATCACAACTTCCCCATTGGACGCAACAAGGTAATGTGCATCTTTTATGCTCCACTCTGGACAAGAGGCAGTTCTCCAGGTCATCTCTGTCTGTGATGTCGAAGATCAGGATCCGCCCAAGGAATTCGGCACAGACAGCCTGTGTCCCGATCCAAGATCCAAGTATTGTCCATTCGTCTGCGCATTGCTTCTGACGGGTGCAGATTACTGGTATGCTTGTGGACGCACCAGTACACGTCCCCATGACACGTGACATGGACAGTCGGAACAACACTCTTGATCTGGACACATGCAACGACGAGCGGTGCTCCACGAGGATCAACATAGAACACAAAGTATCCTTTGTTTGGAGAGTGAAGGACCGGCAGGTGGATCCGCCTGCCGGTGGTAGGGTGGACTAGAAAGACAATCTGCTCTTAGAAGTAAAATGGCTTGTGTCGGACCATGAGAAGCCAGCCGCAGTTCTCGAATTCAACAAAGGCATCATGCACGGGACCTCCCGTGCATGCATGCACATTTTTTTAATTTTTTTTCTATGGGCCCACTGACATCATTTATAGTGTTCTCTCTATCCCCTAACATGGGTTATTCTCTAGTCATTAAGTTTCATTCAAACAAATAGATGCCTAGTATATTTTGAAATAAAAATTTATTTTACTTTCTGTTTACACAAATGTGTTTTTTCGGCAAGATCTTCAAAACAAGACCAATACTGAATATGTTTTCTGAAATTAATTGTTTTTGACAACTAAATAACTGGGCTTCAAACTTGTTTCATCGAAATTTGCTAATTCCATGGGAAAAATTCAATAATGTTCCTGGTGACGTGGCCTTTGAAACAAAAACATTCTTGAATATATTTTGACAAGATTTGAAATTTAAGTCTTCAAATATGATAAACATTATGAAACTATTAACCCCAAAAAAATTATGAAACATTATGCAACCATCAACAACTTGTTTTATTGTGAGTGACTAGTTGGTATGACCACATTGATGGGATACGACAGATGGATTGAGCAATAATAATAAAGTATGCATGTATGAAGGTGAATCTTCAACAAAATCAACGGCCATCACACGCACGGGAT